GCTGGCCCGTGAAAGGAAATTATCCTTCCCCATAGCATGTACCGTTGATAATAATAATATTATTGCAATGACGCTGGACGGGCCGTTTGGCACTCGCTTGCCCCCCGTAGCTGGCCCAGCCTCCAATCTAACTAAATCACTGGTTCCCCAACTGAGGTTGATTAATTATTCTCCGTACTCTTCTCCTCTTCGAGTTGTCACCGTCATAGCATTGTTATTGCTTTTTCTTTTTTCCTTTTTTACCCTTTCCAGCCTTTTCCACCACCCCATGGGTTGCAGGTCTGTGTGCTGAGCTGTCGGTTAATCACATATATCTCTTTTTATTTTCTTGCTTTTTATTCTGTTGTTCTCCATTCATAAATTTGCTCATTTCATTATATATTATTTTTTATTTGATTTTCCCTTTTTTTGGGTCCCCTTTTCATGCTTCCCTCTCGGAGTTGAAAGCCCGTCACCGCCTTTAAAGTCTACTTTATCAAATTAATCGTTTGGACGCTGTGGTTTCTGATCCATCCAGCGAGCGGCTCTCCACGTGCTAACCACTGGTTGACGGTAGCCCGCGGCAGCTTCTTTTCGCGCCCTCCCTTGCATCGCTATCTGGATCTTCTTGCATCCCCGATCCCCTCATTGCTCCAACACAACCTTCCTCTCAGTGGACACATCCTACCATACAGTATCACGCACCCCCCCGAAGTACCTAGTTCCACAATCGATATTGACGGACTGGGCTGCCCAGCCTGAAAGCACCGCCTCACCACAGGTGGCTTTCCCCCCCCTCCAGTCCCTCCAATCAAGCCCAACATTGAGCCTAGTGGCACTTACCCTGCAACCACCAAACCGCCCGACCTGCTGGAATACCCCCCTAAAATCCGCACGTCATGAATCACGATAGTTTTTCTTCCCTCAAATTTCGACGACCGTCAAGCAAGCTTCACAAGGACCCTCCTAGTATCGGTTCCCGCATGCTTAAGAGTCAGCAGAGCAACACGTCACTTAAACGACACCCCTCAGCGCCCGTGTATCCGCGTTCTTCTGCCAGCAGAAGCCGAGAACATTCGCGCACGAGATCCAACGCATACGGCTCTTCTACATCCTCTCTGGATCAGAACAGTGGTGGGCCATCCCCAGTTCTTGCAAACAACGAATCTGGCTATTTCTCTGGTAACCACAACACCACCAAATCCCGTCCGCCCCACTCGGGACGGTTCTCACTCAACGCTCAAAGCTCAGATGAATTGATCGGTGCCCCGTTTGATTCACGGGGTATGCTAAGTGCTCTGCAAGAAAACACTGCCGAGTCCGACAGACAACCAACCCAGAAGCCTCCGACGTTACGGTCTCAGACAGCCCCCGACACTCGAGGACTCAGACAATCCGCTAGCTTCACCGCTCTACACAACCGTATGGACGCCCTAGTAAATAGAACGGATAGCGATCGCTCGACGAATACTAAGCGATATTCCGATGAGGGAAATGGCACTAAACCGGTTGGGCGAAGTAAGAAGGCCAGCTTCTCCAGCTTCGTCAACAGCATGCTAGGTTCTCCTCGTGGTATTAAGATCTCTGCACCGGAGAATCCCGTCCATGTCACACATGTCGGCTACGATAACCAGACGGGCCAGTTCACGGGCCTGCCTAAAGAATGGCAACGCCTGTTACAGGAAAGCGGTATCTCAAAGAAGGAGCAGGAAGAACACCCGCAAACTATGGTTGATATTATGAGATTCTACGAGAAGAATGCGCAAGGAGACGATGAGGTCTGGCACAAGTTTGACCACGCATATGCCCATCATCAACCAGTTACCACTTCCTCGTCGCAGCCCAGCTCTGGCGGCTCGACTCCCTATGGCACTGTGGGCCAGCGAGCCTCATCTCCCACGAGCCCACGTTTCCCACAAAACCATGAGGGGAGTTTTGAAAACCCAAGAGCGCCACCTCCGATTCCCCGCGGTGCTCCAGTGGCAACCCAGGCTATGTCACCTCCTGTTGGTGGCCTTGTACCCAACCGGGCCCCTCCAAGACCCCCAGCTGCCGCTAATATGACGCCCGCCCGCCCTGCTCCTCAGCCCCCAACTACTGCTTCATACGCTACGACAAGACCAGCACAGGATCCCTGGCCTCAGTTTGGAATGATCCCGGAGAATGCTCAGCCGTTCGGCACACCGCCCATACCGGAATCCGAGCCCTTACCATCTGGGCCGCAGCTGAGCAGATCAAACTCTAAGGCTAACGGCGCAGTTGCTCCATGGGTGTCACCAGCTGTGGCCTCCACGCCAACACAGTACCAACAACAACAGGAGCAGGCAATGGCCGCAGCCCAGCAGGCAATTGCAGGCAAGCAACTTGACCGCAGTCAAAGCCTACGCCAGCAGCAGGCACAGCAGCCAAAACAAAAACAAGCAACGCAACCAATTCCACAACAGGTGTCGCCCGTGGAGGATCCATCTGCTGCGCATCAGCAAAGCGCTCGTGCCGTTCCCGCTGCTCGCCCACGGCAACGAGCTCGCCAGAGCAATGCCATGGATATACGGTCACGACTGGTCGCCATTTGCACTCCTGGCGATCCAACTAAGATGTACTACAACCTGAACAAGATTGGCCAGGGTGCTTCTGGTGGTGTATTCACCGCGTACCACAATGCGACAGGCAGCTGTGTTGCCATAAAGCAAATGAATCTTGATCTGCAACCGAAGAAGGATCTTATTATAAATGAGATTATCGTCATGAAAGACAGTAAGCACAAAAACATTGTCAATTTCCTGGACAGTTATCTTCATGGTCTAGACCTCTGGGTGGTGATGGAATATATGGAGGGTGGCAGTCTTACCGATGTGGTCACTTTCAATATCATGAGTGAAGGGCAGATTGCTGCCGTCTGCAGAGAAGTGAGTTTCCAAACATACCCTTATTTACATGTGGCCCGGATCCTGACCATTTCTCGTGAAGACTCTGAATGGTCTACAGCACCTTCATTCCAAAGGCGTAATCCATCGTGATATCAAATCAGACAACATTCTCCTGTCATTGGATGGCAATATAAAATTGAGTAAGGCTCCTCTGGTTCATTTTTCACTCTATATATTCTAACCTAATATAGCCGATTTTGGATTCTGCGCCCAAATCAACGACTCTCACAACAAGCGAAACACGATGGTCGGCACCCCGTACTGGATGGCTCCGGAAGTCGTTACGAGAAAAGAGTATGGTCGAAAGGTTGACATTTGGAGCTTGGGAATTATGGCTATCGAGATGATCGAGGGCGAGCCTCCGTATCTCACCGAGTCACCTCTTCGGGCACTATACTTGATCGCAACGAACGGGACCCCCACGATCAAGGATGAACAGAGCCTGACACCGGTTTTCCGAGACTTCTTGCACCTTGCACTGAAGGTCGATCCTGAAAAGAGAGCCTCGGCCCATGACTTGCTGAAGGTATGTTCCCGACTTCAATTTTAACGGAAGCTGTGCTGACGCCTTGTTAAAAGCACCCCTTTATGTCTTTTTGTGCCCCTCTATCCCATCTAGCACCCCTTGTAAAAGCCGCACGGCTAAGCAGGGCCCAGGAGAAAGCCCAAAAAGGGGGTCATTGAGCCTCTTCGCACTTAATTGTCTCTATATACGTCGATGTCTTCTGTCTTCTCCAGATACCCATTGCTCCTGATGTTTTCTTATATCTTGCTGGGCCATGATATGCTGCTGCTGCATAATGGCACAATCTCTCGTGACGACCTCCCATGCCCGTGTTTCTCTTCTGGATCTAAATCTCATAGATGGCGATGATTGATGGCTTTGCGCTTTCTTCTTTCCTGCTGTGACAGGGCTTACGAAAAAAATTCCGCACCTTACCTCACGTTCGAATATATCCTCTTACCGTGATGATGTTTCCTCACACACCTCACTCTTTTTATTTGTATCATCACCGATGTTGGGATGATGGAAAATACTGTAAATCCTACATGGGGTTCCCTTCGTTTATTGTTACTGGCCGGTAATTCTACTTTCCTTTCTGGGCCGGCGGGATTGAAAGCTAGGGCTCGCGGGATAGGACCCTTCATAATGAATGAGCATACGTTTGGGGAGAATAACCCAGACTGAAGCGGCACATACGAAGGCACGGCTGGGCCTCTTGCCGGTTTAATATATGATATCTTTCTTACTTATCCTCATAATGATAGCGACAAACCGGCTATTTAGATATTATCTTAAAATAAGAAGAGGGTGGTTTTTTCCCAGTCTCTCCCCTTATTAAAGAACTTCAAGATGGATTCAAGATGGGCTGAAAAATTAATGCCCTTGTATGTAAATCCCGTTTGAATGATCGTCGATATTCGTACTGCAGATTCGCAAGGTATTCTATTCTTTGCGCAGCGTTCTGCTCTCTAGCTCGGCGAAAGGTAGTTGTACTTTAAATAGCTCAGCAATGCCATGCCTGTTCTGCTCTGCTATGGGGCACGTACTCCGTACAGTCATGGTAACATGTAATTCTATCCACTTCAAATTCTGGGTACTGGCTAGTCATTTATATATAACTCAGGTACGTATTTATCCCAATATAGGTGAAAGGAGCGAACATGGATAACAATTTGCAATTATTCTGTACGTTATCTTCCTAGGGACTAGGAGTACTGATAGATAACCTTCGTATTCAAACATACAGATCGAATGCCTTGTGGGCTGGTACCTGCCTGATAAGTTTCCGTCATAGTTGGTAATATCGTCATACTAGGCACTTAGTACTAGTAGTTAGTAGGCGCCCAAACTCGCTTATTCGGGCGTAGCGCGCGGCCAGTCAGCGTCAGAGGCGCAGCTCTCCGCCTGCGCGATCACCTGTTTAGTACCACTACTGGGACCGTAAGGCAGTATCAGTTGCAGCCTTCCACTGAATGCCCGAGATCTTCACATTCCTTCGTTATTCCTGAGATCCCTTCCAAGTCTTAGCGGGAGTCTGTTTCCCCTTTTCATCTTAACGAAGCCAATAGACACTGCTCAACAACCAGCCGACCTCAGCCTTACGTCTCGATACCGTCAATCGGTTCCCCGCATCGGGCGTTGATCAGGGACCTGGAGGCCATCAGGAGGTTCAGTGGCTAACATCTAGCCGAGTCAATACCTGCAGGCGATCAAATTACCTACACCGATCACAAGCCTCGTATTCTCTTAAACGAAAGATCATACTACCTGCCACCGTCAATCCAGACATTACGCCGTCAGTTAGGTTAGCTTGAGGAAGAACAATCATGTTCCGCGCACAGCAGAACGCCTTCGATGACGCAGTCGGTACGATGTCCCGGCTACTCTCCTGTCATACTGCCATGCAATTCGTGGGCAAAATGCAAGTCCGGTTGCTATGTAGAGCTTGCTGACGTGAATTCTTCTGCGCAATTAGCCAAGGCGACCGACGAGAATTTGACATCGGAGAACTGGGAATATATTCTTGTATGGGAGCTCTTTTACCACTTCAGTATACTGCAATCGGATTTGGATGTACTTATCTGATGCCTTCATCTAATAGGATGTGTGCGACAAAGTTGCGGCGGAGGAGTCAGGGTGAGTCTGAAATTCTTTTGTCTCTTGGCTTTGGTCCAAATCTATACGAATCGGTGTTAATATGTGTTCCTGAATATAGCGCGAAAGATGCTGTTGCCGCCCTGATCAAGAGGCTTGCGCATAGAAACGCCAATGTGCAACTGTATACTTTGGAGGTTCGCACTCTCGTTCAGAATACCTGGAATATACCAAGGACGAATTCTCACATTTCTCATAGTTGGGCAATGCTTTGGCACAGAACTGCGGCCCGAAGATACACCGCGAACTTGCTTCGCGAAGCTTCACGGATTCCCTACTCCGCCTTGCTAGTGACAGAGTACGTATTGTCGCCGTCCTGCATCTGACGAAGGCTCTGACAGCGTTTCCGGCAGAACACCCACCAGCAGGTCAAGGCAAAGATTCTAGAGCGTATGCAAGAGTGGACAGAGATGTTTTCTAGTAACCCAGACTTCGGCATCATGGAGCAAGCATACATGAAGCTAAAGACACAAAGTAAGTCATCGATGGGATGTCGCATAGATAGGACTCATTACTTACATCCTACTCGCGCAGACCCGAACCTGCAGCCCCCTTCAAAGCCTGTGAAGACAGAGATAACCGAAGCAGATCGTCAGAAAGAAGAGGAGGAGTTGCAGATGGCGCTGGCCCTCTCGATCAGAGAAAAGAATCCCGTGGCCTCTGAGCCACAGCCGGAGTCGAGTACTTCTAACGCTGCCCCTACCAGCCAGGCACAAGCCCCAACACATCAGGCGGTTCCTTCTGGCACTTCCGCTGCCACTGTCTCGCGAGTTAGGGCTCTCTATGACTTCCAGCCTTCAGAACCCGGCGAACTACAATTCCGCAGAGGCGATGTCATTGCAGTACTCGAGTCCGTATATAAGGATTGGTGGAAGGGCTCTCTAAGAGGGCAAACGGGCATTTTCCCCCTCAATTATGTTGAAAAGCTTCCAGACCCTACAGTTGAAGAGTTACAGCGGGAAGCTCAGATGGAAGGCGAGGTGTTCGGCCAGATCAAGAACGTTGAGAAGTTGTTGACACTCCTCAGCACACGTAGTACCGAACCAAACGTTCAGGATAATGAAGAAATCACAGCTCTATATCACTCTACTTTGGCAATTCGACCTAAGTTGATTGAGCTCATCGGCAAATATTCTCAGAAAAAAGGTATAGTTGCTTGAGGCCATTTCAGTTCGTTTAGCTGATGCGTATCTAGACGAGTTCACCCAACTCAATGAGAAGTTCATAAAAGCGAGACGGGACTATGAATCTCTTCTGGAGGCATCCATGTCGCACCCCGCCCAGCCCCCGTATGGCAGGCCTGGTCCATCTCAGTATGGATATCCCGGACCTGCGGCATCCATGGGCTACCCTCAGGGCCCTCCGCAATCTGATCCCCAAAGATATTTTAGCCCTCGGCCTCAAGGTTTGTGATCGCCAGGGGATATTACTAGCAAACATAGCTCTAATGTCATGAGAAGAAACCCAATCACACCAGCCCAATACATCCCCTTACTACGGGGCAGATCAAGCGCCTATGTACCCTCCGACATCTCAGTCCCCCGATCCACGTACCCGCACACCTCCAGCTGGTGCATCCTATCAGCCCGTGCATCACCGACCAGAATCAACATATGAGCACCCGCAAGAGCTAGGAACATCTGTTTATGACTCTCCTGTTGAGCATCCTTCCGCAAACCAACGAATTCCATATCCTGCTAGCGGACAAGCCCCGCCGCTGTCCAGCCACCGTTCCAGCAGCAGCAGCAGCAGCAGCAGCAGCAGCAACAACAACAACAACAGGAATACCCTCCTTATGCCCATGAAGATGCAGCTAAGCCACAGCCCCCGTATCCTACAGGCCCAGCTTCCAATCAACAACCACCTATGCATCAGCCCCCCCCCGTCCCAGGCACAACGTCAACACCGGCACCTTACCCTTCTTTACGCCCGGAGCAGGAGGCTATCAAGCATACAACCCATCCCAAGGAACGGCACCTAGCTCTAACCCAGCTTCATTCTATCGTTAACCATTAGTGGCGAGGCTTACAAGATCTGAATATCATGATTTCACTTAATGAACCGGCGTATTGGCACCATTTTCCCATTGAGGTTTGTGTAACGCGATGACGGTTTGATGCTTGGTCTCGGGTGTAGGCGAGTGCCGGAGGATTGCTTTTGCTTTTTCTGTTACATTAGCCTGCTTTGTCGATCTTGGTAGCCATTTGTTCATTTTCACTTGCGCCTTGTTGTGTGCCTAACCACAAGACGAATATGGACTTTTGTCATGTGCTCGATGCACTTCGTTTGATTATGTAAATGGAATCCCCATAGTCGCAACAGCTCAGAAATAATCACGATATAGCTACCCTGATCTTCGTCATAGAAGTATATCTAAGTACTTATAGACACTGGGCGAATGTTCTTAGACTAGTCGCAGCCGATAGAAACGGCAACGTATGGACCCTTCCCCTTGGCCCTGATAAAAGCTCCATCAAGCTTATGCCCAGTGAAGATGGTTTACATCTTTTAATCATATCAAAGTTCTTGGCAAGAGTTCTGCGGATGGTCAATAGAGATGGGTACATACTCCGGAATAGATACCCGACACTCCTACTACTTGAGAACGCACTATACTACATTTGGATGGAGAAAGGGCTAAACCCTGATTTTATACAGTCTGTCAGGGAAGGAATAGGATCCTGTATCTTCTGGAGGGTCAAGATCTCAAGCTTATAACGCCGTCAAAAGCGATTAATTTTCCGAATAAAATTTCCTTAGAATGCCTACTTGTTAATGCATAATATGAGAAATTTTCACATTTATATGACCCCTTTTGGTGTAGTTATTAATACTGCGGTATGCAGACAACGAAGACTTCTGTTACGGTCGAGGATTTTCCCCCTGAGCTAATAATTCCAACCTTCGAAGGCGGTCATTGGCGGTCCGATATGGTATACACATACATGGTGCGATTAAACGCATTCAAAGTACTACGAAACATGATCTTGATTTCTATTTTATATGAGCACTTGAAATACGATTGAAGTTTTAAAAGCTCCACGTGTACTGAATATGCATTGCTTCTGTGCTGAATTGGGACGATAGTGCTGTTGCTCCCTCTATACAATTTGCATGTACTATGGTTTGTTTTGCCTACATCGTAGTGTGTCCCGATCTTTTGGTGCAAGTACATGTTCAGAGGTGAGTATTTTAGAACTAGGAAAAGTCAATATCCAATATGAATGCATATGACCAAAGTGCCATAGCTTGGGGTATAAGTATGCGCCTGGGTTTGTGGCATTAGGACAAGCAGTGTGTATACTTGATGCTTCTTTTTGGTTTTTCTCTTTTGGGCAACCTGATCACTGCCTCAGGCGATACTACATGTCCCCCGCTCTAGCTTTCACGTGATGACGTGTCGGTACCTCATCAGTATTGCTGCCTCACCTTTGCAGATTGCACGCTTGGGGGGCTTTCCAAGTATATTTTCGAACAGAGAAGGGTGAGATTGCTAGTGAATGGGATATCTTAGCTCGGTTTCTACCCCTTCAAGACCGCGTGCTGCGATTCTCGAAAACGACCTTTGTTAGCTCCCCCCGCAATCGCGTCTACGCCGAACAATGCCCGATTTCGCTCTCTTCCCGAATGAACAGGACCGTTTCAACCTTTAGGAATTATACACGCCGCCTGCATCTGATTTAAAGACGATAGAAGCTCGGGCGCAAACCCGGGTGCAATGTTAGCACCATGGAAGCCGATTGGGATGAACTGTCGCGCATTCCGGTGCCACCTCCAAGCCCACATGGTATGCCAACGATTGCGACAGCAATAGCCTTTGATGATGTGATGGAATTGTTGTGGGCTGGGAACGAATATGTAAGGTCGTTGATTCTAGAAGTTGACCAGGTGCTGATCTGCGTTTGCAGGGCCGAATCACTTCCTTTTGCGGTCCAGAATTACAGAGGTATACCTCCGTCCGAGCACACCCAGTTTCCGAAGGCCCCGTACGGCAGATACTGTTTCATGATAGAGGCGTGATATCGTTGTCTTCGAAGAGTGTGCATATGATAACCCGGCGTGGCCTGACGCAATGGCACATTACTCATGAGGACATGACGGATCTACGCTGCATGAGTTTCACAGCACAACTGAACAAAGTTATAGTAGCGGGATGTCAGAAGTCAATGTTCACAATTGATATCGATAAGGGACACATAGTCGACAAGCTGCCGACCGAATATAATTATACTATGATGAAAAAGAGTCGATATCTTTGTGCTGCGACAGATACCGGATCAGTGAACGCCTTGAGTCTCACTGATTTTCGTGTCGTTAAGTCTTGGAAGGCTCACGGAACAGCTGTTAATGATATGGATGCTAGGAATGACCTTCTGGTCACCTGTGGATTTTCGGTTCGACATCTGGGATCACCGATCGTCGACCCCTTGGCCAACGTTTATGACCTCAAGACACTATCACCATTACCTCCTATACCTTTCCATGCTGGAGCTGCGTATGTACGCATGCATCCTAAACTGCATACCACCAGTTTTGTTGCGTCACAGACCGGTCAGCTGCAGGTGGTCGACCTTATGAACCCTAACGCAATCAATCTCCGCCAAGCCAATGTTTCGTTCATGCTTGGGATCGATTTGTCGCCCTCTGGGGAGGCATTAGCCATAAATGATGCCGAGTGTGCGATCCACTTGTGGGGCTCTCCATCGAAAGTACATTTCAATGAGATGAGCAAGGAAGTTGAATTTGCGGATGTACCTGCCCGACCTCCACCCCTTGACTGGTCACCGGATACGCCCTTGAGTATGATTGGGATGCCATATTACCACGAGCGGCTGTTTTCTGCTTGGCCAAGCCACCTTGTTTTTGAGATTGGCAACCCGCCGGCCCCTACTGACCAAGCACTAATTCCCTACCTACGTCCCGCGGAGATTGGGCACTATGCACCGAACCCGAAAAAGACTCGACGAAATCAAGTAGAGAATACTCGCGCGATGGCCAATTCGGAACCTGCCCTTATCGCGCCGAAGTTCCTGAGCGAAAAGGCAAGAGAACAAAGTAAGGCGAAGTCGGATGGCCTCGTTACTGATACGGCGGAGACACTTGCGGGCACGAAGCTTAACGGCGAAGCAGAGGACGACCCTCTTCTCAAGTACAGTAATGTCGAGATCAAATACAGCCGATTTGGTGTCGATGATTTCGACTTTCGGTAAGACACACACTGAGCTCTACAAATCAAAACAGATCAGTTGACATTTGATACAGATTCTATAACCAGACTAAATTCTCTGGTCTAGAGACACACATTGCAAACTCCTTCACAAACGCTCTCCTCCAGCTATTCAAGTTCATCCCGTTGATACGAAATGTAGCACTCCACCACGCCGCAAGCACATGCATATTTGAGAACTGCCTCCTATGTGAGATGGGCTATCTCTTCGATATGCTTGAGAAAGCCGACGGTCAAAACTGCCAAGCGACAAATCTTCTAAAAACTTTCGGTAGTTTTCGGGAAGCCTCCAGTTTGGGGCTGCTTGAAGAGAATTTGACGAATAAGGCGTTGTCTACTTCAATTCAGGCTGTCAACAGATTTTTCCTTGGCCAAATTTCTCATGATTTCCGCATGATCCTCCCGAGCTCAGATGACCTCGACCATAAATTAGCAACCGTTGCTTCCGAGTCTATTCGCTGCATGTTTTGCCAGAAGGAAATTGTCCGACCAGGGAACTCGCTGGTTAATGAGTTAATTTACCCGGCAATTGATATAAAGCAGATCCGTAGGAACCCTGCGTACCGTTTCTCAAACATTTTACGGGCAAGCATTGAGCGCGAGACTCAAAACAGAGGATGGTGCAATTACTGCCGACGTTACCAACAAGTGGCTATTCGGAAGACAGTACATCGCATGCCACTCGTTATGATGCTCAACACCGCACTAAATAATCCTATCTGCAAACGGCTTTGGGCAATTCCCGGATGGTTACCAGAAGCGGTTGGCCTCGTGGTTGATGCTGGCCAGATCTTGTGCTTTGAAGGGGAAGACCTTCGAATGCGGATGCAGAACAACATGCCGGGCCTGTGGTATATGAATTGGTAGGCGTGGTTTCAGAAATTGATATTCCTGAGCATCAGAAAGCTCATCTAGTCTCCTTTATTAATGTGTCAATCTCCTCGCGCGAGCCGGAGACTGCAAATAAGTGGCATCTGTTCAATGACTTCCTGGTCACGGAGGTAGACAAGGATGAAGCGCTCCGATTCAATCAACCGTGGAAAGTGCCGTGTGTGCTGGCATACCAGGTGAAGGATGCTCGCCACGCCATGGATGATAACTGGAAGAACGCCCTTGACACGACTCTTCTTTACCGTGATTGGTCACTTAAGTGGGTTGAACCTGTGCTACAAAACCGAGATAGTTCCATGCTGACCATTCCTTTTAGTGGCGGTCGCTCCGTGGAATCACTTGCTACTCTTTCAGAGGAAGAGAAGCCGAGTCCTGGTACTCCTGTTGCCCTTGATACCGAATTTGTTGATCTCGAAAAAGCAGAGATCGATGTGAAAGCCGATGGTTCTCAAGAAATTGTACGGCCCAGCAAGAGTGGCCTTGCTCGAGTTTCCGTTCTTAGAGGCTCCGGGACTCGAGAAGGCGTACCTTTTATCGATGATTATATCACCATTAAAGAGACAATCGTTGACTATGTCACTCAATACTCTGGTATTAAACCCGGTGACTTAGACCCGAGGACTAGTCAGCACAATCTTGTCCCACTTAAAGTCGCATATAAGAAGTTGTGGCTACTCCTCAATTTGGGATGCATTTTTGTCGGGCACGGATTAGCCTCCGATTTCCGCAAAATCAATATCCAAGTCCCCAAAAGTCAGACAGTCGATACACAATATTTGTTCTTCCACCCAGGTAAGAATCGGCGTCTCAGTCTCCGATACTTAGCCTGGGCTGTGTTCAAGGAATATATCCAAGAAGAACCCACCGACAATAACCAAGGGCATGACTCCATTGAAGATGCACGCATGGCCCTCCGTCTTTGGAAGAAGTTCCAGGAATATGAAGACGCAGGGGTGGTCTCACAAATACTTGAGGAGCTATTCCGCGAGGGATCCAAACTAGGATTCCGACCACCAGCTCGAAACGGCGCTACAGCCGTTTTATCACGGCCTGGAACTGCAGTGACGATGCAGAATAATAGCGGTAGAAACACCCCCAGCACTCCTGAAGTGACCGCCCCTGCTGCCAGTGCGCCCACCACGCCCAGACAGGGATTCCGACGCTCGGTTGCTCTGACCCCGAGCAATGGCAGCTTTGCTGGCCCGGGAACAGGAGACTTTTTTGGTGGGAGTCCATTGAAATGACCACCCCCTTAGAGAGAATTTCGCACTGACAATTATTCATGATGGTATGACATGTCGTAGGACTGGATAGAGATACGTTAGTGTTGGTGTAAGTAGTAGCTGCTCTGCAGACAGACACGACACTTGCTTTTAGTCACTAGTTGCTAGAGCCATTTTTAGAAAACAATACAACTGAACTTCATTATTTACATCTACGAACTGGAAAATTTTCGGTTTGTTTACTATTAATCTTCTTCGGATCTATGCTCTACGGTCCGCCAATAGGAGGATTCATGTTTATGTATTAGGGTGGAAAGCGGTCTGCGGAGCGGGGACAATAAATGAGGGAATGACGTTTGAAGGTTCGTCTCTTCTTCCTTTACAATTCGGCATCTACTGCACTATTCCTCTGATCCGCTGCGCCCGGTAATTCGCATCTGGGTGATTGGGAGACACCACCGAGAGACGTGACGTGCTGGAATACTTGCCCTCATCCTACTCCCCGTCCACACACCAGCCTGGTGCGGCTGAACCCCTCCAAGTCCACCTGCCCCTCCCTCAACAATCACAACAGCCACCATGTCGCGCCATCGCGTAAAGGCTGTAGCTTACGATGATGATGATTTCGATGATGATGGATATGACTCACCAGATCCCGAAGAACAGGAATTCCTCGAACAGTGTACTGCAGAGGTGTTGAGTCAACTCCTCGCGGGGTCGCCTTCTGTAACGGCCTCGCGGGACGAAGTTCAGGAAGCATTATGGCACTACTATAACGATGTGGCAAAGTCTGTGAACTACTTAAGAAGTGAGTTTGACGAAAGCTATGCAGATGGACGAATGGGCGTTGCTGTTCAACGGGATAATCGATGAGGTGGCATGGACGCTAATTGCGATGGCTTGGTTAGATAAGAAAGCTAAGGAAGTGAAGAAGAAGGAGAGCACGTCCGCTCCGGCTGCGAAGGCGAAAGGTAAGCGTGATCACTTTTGTTTATACAACTTGCCCCATTCCCCCATGGGCAGGCTCGAGTCTCCAGCGGAATCCCCTTTGTCGCACCTTTGCGATAGTGGTGAGTGTACCCTGTCCCTCGGTTTTGGCTGGTAAACTGACTCCAAATGGAAGCTCGAGAATGTTCTAACAGGTTTTCAGTGCCTGCATACCCTTTACCTCCTGATCTGGCTCCGCAAGAGCCCCCACATTTCTCCGCCGCAGACTTCTTCCGCGACTCACCGTGGCTCAATGTCCCGGTGCATCGTAAGGCCGATATTCTCATAGAGCCTCTTTATCCTCGGCTTGGACTTCTTGGTGGGTCTCCTGAATCTGGTGGAAAGGTTTCGAAACTAGCTGCTTTGGCTGCTGCCCGCAAGAAAAAGGAGGGTGACAAGGCTTCAACTACGGCCCCTCCGCAGAATGCTGAGGTGGATAAGACACCAGCGCATTCAACGGAGCAGAAAGGCGCTTCTTTATCTCTCCGTGAAAGGCTTGCTGGCAATGGGAAAACACAAAAGCCTGAGGGTGCCCAATCGCCGCGTCCTTTGGGAAAGTTGTCCCGTCTCGGGAGCCATTCACCCCAGAAGAAGCCGTCTCCTGAGCCAGTCAAGCAGAATGGGACGTCGCCGAATAATTTAGCAAATGTACAACAAGAGATTACTGCAGAGCCTTTGGTCAAAGAGGAAGAAAAAGAACAGCCTACTGTCAATATTCGCGCCTCGCCTTCTACTTTCGCTAGCACTATCGTTGGGGATGTTACGCGACCAAAGATGACCGAGCCCAGTCCCTTGTTCTCAACCTCTTTGGATCTGATGGAGATATACGGACAAGATCTTACTGAACCCTTTGATTTCACAGGCCCAAGCCAGATGATGTCGTCTTGAACGCACAAAGCTCTGCAAAAGGTTTGGCTATTCGGCGCAAGATCTAGGACCTCTCTCCCTAATAGACGTGCAGGCTTCAAGTCGAAACAGCCTGCTTCTAAGCCGGCTGGCGATAAGAAAAACCAAACCGACCTAGCGGGTGGCATGAACAACCTAAGCGTTGCAGAGAAGGTGACCGTTAAGAGCAAGAATCTGGACGTTTTATCCGAATACCAAAAGTCGAAGCGGAAAAATGCCATGAATTTTGCAGTCATCGGTTTGTTTTCACCCACATTTCTTAACACAGGATTGTGTTGCTAATGGTGGCTCAGGCCATGTCGATGCGGGAAAAAGTACGCTCATGGGCCGCTTACTTGCTGATCTGAAGGCAATAGACCAACGGACCCTTGACAAGTATCGGCGAGAAGCTGAGAAGATTGGCAAAGGCTCTTTTGCTCTTGCCTGGGTGCTGGATCAAGGTTCCGAGGAGAGAGCACGCGGTGTCACTATCGATATCGCGACTAACAAGTTTGAGACAGAGAAGACCGTCTTCACAATTGTAGATGCTCCCGGCCACAGAGATTTTGTGCCGAACATGATAGCTGGTGCTAGCCAGGCCGATTTTGCTGTTCTTGTTATTGATTCAGGCACGGGGAACTTTGAGTCTGGCTTAAAGGGTCAGACTAAGGAGCACGCTCTTCTGGTGCGGAGTATGGGTGTTCAGCGAATTATTGTTGCTGTTAATAAGATGGACTCTGTTCAGTGGAACAAGGATCGCTATGACGAGATCGAGCAACAGGTTTCAGCTTTCTTGACCACTGCGGGATTCCAGGCCAAAAACATTGCATTTGTGCCATGTTCAGGCATCAGTGGTGACAATGTCACAAAGCGAAGCGATGATCCAAATGTGTCATGGTATACAGGTCGTACCCTAATTGAGGAGCTTGAAGCTACCGAGCCTTACTCCCATGCCCTCGACAAGCCATTGCGGATGACCATTGGTGATGTCTTCCGCGGAAGCGTCCAAAATCCCCTTTCGATTTCCGGTCGGATCGATGCAGGCAGCTTGCAAGTGGGTGATCAAATTCTCACGATGCCTAGCAGCGAAACGGCATTGGTTCGAAGCTTGGAAGTGGACGGTGAACCGAGCGACTGGGCTGTAGCGGGTCAGAACGTGGTGCTCAACCTTGCAAACATTGACCCCATCCACCTGCGTTCCGGCGATGTGATCTGCCGTGCCTCTGCGCCTATCGCCAATATCACATCATTCACAGCCAAGGTGTTGGCATTTGAGCATCTGATGCCTAGCATGGTTGACGTTCATCGGGGACGCCTTCATGTGCCTGGACGGATTAGTCGACTTGTCGCAACGTTGGATAAAGGCTCTGGTGCCGCCATCAAGAAGAAGCCAAAAATCGTTGGCCCAGGCTCCGTGGCACGAATCGTCGTGGAACTGGATCATGCTGTGCCTTTAGAGGCGCCTACGAGAATTGTTCTTCGGGCTGGAGGTGAGACCGTTGCGGCTGGGTTGTTGGAATAAGTAATCTTGGAGCGGCTTTGACCTACGTTCAAGGAGGAATGTATTTATCTAGTCAAAGGTCTATATATACATAGAAAATGGAGACTGCAAGGGTCTTGTGTCTTCTACGTACTTCAAGGACCTAGAAACCATCAAACAGGACGAACAAAAGGAAGAGCTTCAATTGGATGATGAGGTCTCACATGCCGAGCCTGCGGGATCTCAGGGTTATTTGAGAACAAAGCTTCAATAACCTCTGATATATATGTATCTTTATACCCCTACATGCCCCAGACAAATTATCCATCACTTAAAGTAACCACTACCTACTACCCCCAAACCAATTTCTATCCCTATTTGTCACGCAGCCCAGAAGACCCTCCACGGAGAAATACCTCGGAGAAATAGCGTGCCACCAACCGCGGACAAAAGGCGGAGTAGATGTGTCAAAATGAGGGGAACGACAAGAAGTATAGGTACTTTTCGACCCATGTTTGCTACTCATGTTTCCATTTCGTCTGGCGCTTTCGGGGCTGGGTTGCATTCGGAGAAATACGTGGTTGTAAATTAAAACTCTACTCTGATACGTGGTATAAAACAGAGAGCCCTACTGGTAATTCTCAGATCTACTCCGTAGTTACAGTAATTGGCCAGCACGAAACGTTAACCTCCCCACGCAATTCTCCGGAGTATATTGGAGCTCTACCAGGGCCCATGGCAAAAGTAACCAATTGGAGAATTGCCTTCCCACAAGCTGAATCCCATGGTAGGAAGGTATGATATGTATGATCCATCCGGATTTCGAGAGCGAAGACGAACGTTTGGAACCCAGAGGCCTATTTATACCATTGGCTGTCTGCTCTCGTTGTCTATTGAATGGTTGGAGAAACAACTAAGGAAACAATATCTATATTCATCATGGGTGCCCTTCGACCAACTTCTGACCCTATGCCCTCCACCCAGACTGTAGCTCTGGTATCCGAGCTGGGTGGAGACGTCGAGTTTCGTGAGGGATATCCAGTTCCTACACCCGGCGAGAATGAAGTCCTGGCGAAGGTTCTGTATACTGGTGTCTGCCAAAGTGGTGCGTTTTATATATATTTCTTGGCTATCGTAGAAAGACTGACACACTTTGATATGGCTTTTATGCACATCTGCTAATCTGCTAAATATTAGACCTCCATACAAAGAACGGCACTGCAGCTGGCCCGTCTGGTGACCCCATAACTAAGATTAAACTCCCCCATGTCGGCGGCCACGAAGGGGTTGGCCGGATTGTGGCACTCGGGCCCGGATGTGGTTCTGATTTAAAGGTAGGGGGTCTTGTGGGAATCCGGTTCTCGAGTCGGATCTGTCGACGCTGTGAGTTCTGTCTCGCTGGGACGGAACAGTATTGCGTCAAGAGTACAAATCATTTGCACCATGAGGATGGTAGCTTCCAGGAGTTCATTGCTCTTGATGCGGATTATTTGACGATCTTACCGGATGATATTGATCCGGTGGTCATTGGGCCGGTTTTATGTGCTGGCGTCACAGCCTATAAGGTTGGTGGTTCTGCTATGTCCCTGTTGTTACCGCTGAGGATGCTGATATCCCACGCAGGCGGTACTAAATGCTAATATCAGGGCGGGACACTGGCTGGTCGTTGTTGGTGCTGGAGGTGGCCTTGGGCATTTGGCTGGTGAGTCGTCATAATTGGAGCTATATGTATTGATATAATGCTAAATTGAACAGTTCAATACGCAAAAGCCCAAGGAGCATTGGTCATTGGTGTTGATGCCGCAGACAAACGCGACTTTGTCCTTCGCCTCGGAGCTACTGAATTTATTGACTTCACCTCGGCCGACCCCGTCCAGCGCGTTCATGAAATCACCGGGCTTGGGGCGCACGCAGTAGTAGTTACAGCTGGAAGCGCAAAGGCTTTTGCTCACGCCTGCGAAATGCTACGTGTCGGCGGAACACTGAGCTGTGTTGGCATTCCTCCAGGCCGACCGGTGCTGGAGACACCAATCTGTACCATCGTGATCAAGGGACTTAAGATTACCGGAAATCTTGTAGGCTCACTGAAGGAATGTATGGAGGCTGTCGATCTCGTTAGGCGTGGTGTGGTGAAACCAGAGATTAAAGTCCGCAAGTTTAAAGAGCTGCCTCAGGTATATGAGGAGATGGAGAAGGGTGATATTGCAGGAAGGATCGTGCTACAGATATCGGAGTAGCCACCGTCATCTCTCGCACTGAGAACACTCTGTGTGTCGACTAATCATGAACTCTCATTGAGACCTTGTGAAATGAATACAGCCGTATCATATATGGAGCGGTCCAGATACTCATACATAGTGCTCTCGTCATCCGCTATTTGTTCATCATAAAATCTTAACAACCGAGCAGGTGCTGTTACCAAAGCTTCCGCAGTCTTCGCATGCAAGATAGACTTAAGCATAGCATCCTGCTCTAAAAATGGAAGAAGCTTTTGGTACAAAGCATGCAAAAAGTCCTGAGGCCCTAATCGAAGCTCATATGATGAAACTGAGGGCGTATACAACACGACATCAGCAAGTGAGTTTGTTACTTCGAAACACTTCAATAACTGCATTTATGTTACCACCACCGTCGCCATAGAAAGAGGCTAACATACCTGATCACGACCCAGAGGCAACAAATCAAACTCGGAGAAACCTTGTAATGAATACAAGAGGTCCCGACTGACACGGGTTGGGAACTTGAATGTAAGAAGCTCGGAGTACGCTTTGGAGGATAACATCTGTCGAGACAATGCTTCCTGCCAGATGATAGTCCTCATCCATTCCTTAGTAATGCAGTAGTCCGCCATCCGGACAGATGCTCTGCCGCCCTCTCCTAGCGCAAGCATAGACAACGCCGCTTCCGTATCCGTAAGGCAATCGGTCGAGATTACATCAGGATTCAAAGCACCGGTACTCCGCTTGAGAGAGACGCTATCAAAAGCTGCGAAGAGTTTAGCTAGCTCCAGTAAGCCTTGAGCATGCTCATTGCCTGCTGAATATATTCCCTCCGGTAAGCGAATCGGGCTCGTATACGATGGTAAGAGTCCGAGATGCATTGCATAGCCCCTGAGAAGATCAACATCCAGCGTTACCCACGTACGCAAGGGTGACTTTACCTCTCCGAAACCCAGAGAAGAGTGAACAAAATATCCTCATTCGCAATGGCTTCATCACCACCAGCCCTTGTCTCACGGTCCCATTCATCTAACTTCAAAAGCCTCGCGCCAGAGATAGCCTCCTGTATGAACATCATCGCCGAGTTCCGCTTATTGATCTTCGCATGATACACATGCAAGAAAAACGAAACAAGAATACTCTTCATGTCGAGATTTTCTCTATAATTGCTCTCCTCACGCAACCTCATGCACTCACTCGCCATTGCAACACAATCAACAACCTGTCCGTCATCGGTCAATGGTGGGAGCTGCAGTTGCGCCATCGTCGCCGCGCAAAGCGCCGTGGCGAGACAATAAACATCAGTGTCATGGCCATCGTCGTCGTCCGCGAGTCGCCGCAAAAGCACCTCCGCATCAATTACTGGCCAAACACTGTACGATGAATGCTGGTACCAATGCACCACCGTTTCGAGAACTGACCGAGAGATCGTCCTATGTCCAACATGACTTTCGTTCGAAGCACCGACATTCAACGAAGTAGAAGCATCCGTCCCCGAAACAAAGCTCACAGAATCGATTTTGCCCGTGTGACGTCTAACTTTGGGGCCTCTTCTACGCGCCGGTTTCAGGTATGTGCATTTCACCTGTTTTGGGGCACTGCGGCATGTGTCGCAGGGCCAGGCGCCGCTGCACTTAACTTTGCGGGTAATGCATTCGTCGCAGGCTCGCTTGGTGAGTTTCGGGCGCATGGAGTGCGGAGTATGTGATGGTAAGAGGTTCGGTATGGCTGTAGTGGAGAACGGGGGGGGATGATGTATGGAAAGTGTATGCGGAGAGAGTGTTGGGGGTGAGGGGAAATTGGTTGCCGGTCACTGGACCTGTGCATGCATGCATCTAGACCGTCGACTATGGGATTTAGTGCTTATTAGAATACTCTTCGTTGAAGCTATATCAAATGCCGATCGCTGTGAGATTTGATTATTAATGCTATTGCAGATAGATAACTATAGCTAACCGAAAAGGTATACTATGAAATTGATGGTGTGATCCAATATGTTGTAGTATTTATAGATGCTAGTCCTAAGATCCATAGAGTCTCTTAAAGGACACACTGGATGCTCACACAAAATACACATACATTCTTGTTCCTCCAGTCTTAGCCATACTATGTCTATCTATTGGCATCGACCGGTATAAATCGAAATCTGTGATTTCTTAGTCTACACATACCCCCAGCTGAGTCTCTGCGAAGATCTATACCGCTCAGTCACCAATATTGCCCATCGAGGGTTAGAATGACATAGTAAGTAGCTATATATCAACAAAACCTGCCATCTGGCAGACCTAAATCAAATTCGAACATATCGATATCCCCACATAAAACAATTCACAGAGACATGGAAGAGAAACGATCCTATACTATGCACCATTTCGAAGGCTGCTTCTCTCTACCACAGCGCTAAGCTCTGAACTAAGAAGAATCATGAGGTCCAAGTGCCGTCTCTCGGTGGAGGTTAATTGACGAGTATCCATTTTTCGGAGGATCACGGGGGTATCTTTCAGAATCCTCATACATTCCGGATTATCGAAATCGAAAGGTTCGGTGATGATCTTGCATAACAGATTCAAGATCGCCGAAAGCAGATAGAAACAGATGAACCTGATGGTAAGTCAGATTCACATTCTAGAAAAGGACAGGGCCTCGGGCCTACATACCAGAAAATCTCTCGAGTTAGTATAAAGCGCGTGGCACACAGGATTTCCAGAGACGAAACACTCGCTCGAACTGATAGATTGAGGCCTGACCGAAGAGCCTCGGTCATGGGACCGCAGGGTCGGCATCGGCTGACAGCTTGGTGAATGCATCCTAGGCTGTGGTGATACTTAAGATTGATCAAGAGAAGTTCGACATCTGTAGTCGATTGGGTGGGAAGATCGGAAATGTGGAGGGTAGGTCGACAGGCCCTAGGTATTGAGAGTCGCCATTTTTCCAGCTCATCGTCGAGAGCGCGAATAGATCTGAGTATTTCAGTGTCGGATTTCTTGAGAGAATGTGGTTCATAGAGCTCTGAATATACCCCTGACATGACTAAGCTTAGCTTTAAATGGGACATAGAAAACTCTGTACGATGATTCTGAGGGTCGCTTGTAGGGAATAGCTTTGAAAGATACTCAATCGGAGATTCCGCCGCCTCTAATGAAGCGGGTATTAGAGACTCGGCAAGCATAAGAACTGGCGTACCCGTTCGAAAAGACAATTCCTTATCGAGCATGAAGCTGTTCCAATAGAGCGTTCGAAAAGTAGATTCTTTATAACCAGTACACACCGGTGCCACCTTTCCTTCTGGACTCGAAGTGGGTTCAGAAAACCCCATAACTGGAGATAAATCGTTCGCTAAGCGGGCGACAGTGCTCATTAGCTCTCTTGCGAGCTCTAATCTTCCGTGCGAGAAGTGAAATAGAACCTTCTCTATGATTAGCTCATGCAACGAGAATATCATTTAATGCCAATGGTATCAGAAGCAGATGCTAAAGGGAAACACTGACCAGGGCATACTTACAAGTAGCAAAAGAGCTTGTAGCTTACCGATACTATGTCCTAGATCATGGACTGTGGAGAGCAGGCTTTCAGCCTCAAAGGCACACCGTTCGCCATTGACTGGATATAAAATATGTTCCCTGCGATCTGTGACGGAGCAAAAGGCAACGAAGGAAAGCACAAGAGCTTTAGCAATGGAGAGAGCCTGGGGAGATTTCTCATTTGGAGGAGAATAGGCGGTCTTCACTGAATCTTCCAAGAGGGACATATCGGCAATAGGGTAGATCAGGCCAATTTTACCACACTTGCAGAATGCAATGCATGCTTCACTGACGAACCTATCGGGTAGTTCGACGGAGTTTCCGTCTGACTTGAGGTCTGCTCCCTCTGAGGTTGAGTGATTAGGAAAACTCGCCCAGGGGAGGCCAAATGACAAAAGCGTCTGAAGAATATCAGAGGTCCCCCGGTGAGACTGAATCCACCTTTGTCCCATTGTGGATAAAACCGGGATCCCGTAATATCGAAAGAATGCGCTGTTATTGTCTTGAGCGTTCAGGCCCCCGGCATAACGGCCAAGCTCATGACCTTCAACAGCTTGATTCCGAGGCAGGGGATGGCTCGCATGACCATCACAAGAGGTGCTTCTATCTGTTCATAGCATTAGCTGTTGCTATAGACGACACCTAGAAACTTAATCTCTACTCACTCGTCTCTGATCGACGGCCACTATCGAATACTGAGACATAGTCGTCAGGAATCTTGGCACGTGTGTTTTTATGTGTATATTCAGAGCTACCAGCGTTATATTAGTCGTGTTGGAGGCAGCAATAATGTAGAATAGCATGATGGGTTGCTCTACTCAGATAAATCATCTGCCCTTCGTTTCCGTCGACGATCTATGCTTGTATATGTGCATTCTAGCCCTTGGTGTAGACACCACTCGCATTTGGTGGCGTTGCTCTTCTCAACGCATTTAATCTACGATCAAATCAGCACCTCCACCATACCTTTAAGTGAACTGTTGCGGGCGCCGATAACACTTGCTCACCTTACGCGAACAACAAGAATCGCAAGCCTTCCGCGGTCGCCCTCTTTGGGCGTCGCGGGACCGGGGACTCATGTACCGGACGACGAAGCGGTCGAAATATAGTACCGGCGGAGTGATTGGCTATAGAACCGGTATTCGTTCCCCTTCCGCCGGAAGACGCGGATCCACGGCAGAGTTTCGGCTTGCCTTGATCAGTTGGGCCTCATACCAATGTCTCGGTTCTTAATTTCGGAATGGGACGTCTCTATCCATTGATACCGACCAACTCGGCATATCAATCGACACGGGATGTCCGTGGACCCTTCATTGGAAGACTGGGCTTTTCAGCAGACTATTCCTCATCTGGTCGAGCCAAGTGATGACCCAGAGACAAGAGTGGGCACATCGCCTCGTGAAGACTTGGCGACTAGAATTGGTAAGGGCTGTCGGATAAGTGTGTATATGCCGTCACTATAGTTCTCTGCTCACACATGTTGCTCTAACATATGTCGCATATCCCGAAGTATCGCAAGCCCTTCTGCAAGTCAACAGGATCTAAATCTCAGGACTATTTCATCCTGGTCAACCCAATCCAGAAACAGACATAGCCTAACCGCTAACCAAAGGCGGTCTAGTACCGAATCCACCCAACCATTGGGAAGGTCCATCCAGCACGACGTCTAAATCTCCTACGGAACCGACGTCATGAGATTTAAATCGATTAGGATGACATCCCCACCCAGAGTAACTATATAAAATATAATGGTCTTGCAAATTTTCTTAATCACTGAAATTCAACTCTCAAATATACTCTACCAGATTTGTAATTGAACAAACTACACTCCCAAAATGGAAGACAGGCCCGTCGCACCCGCGAGCAAAGATGTAACTTGCCCTACAATTCCCCACTACGCTTCCCTCTAGACAAAGTTTACAATGAACACATACTAACGCAAGAATCGCAGCTCCGCGAACTTACTGCTCAAGAGTCCTCCGCCGCAGTAATCTTCCCCTCATTCACTTCCGAAACAGCCTGGTCTCTTGGTCTCGCGCTCCGGTCCAGGATTCTTTCCCTCCCGGCGGATCAACGCAAGCCGGCTCTCATCTCTATCGCGCTCACCGGCGGGTCCGAGCCACATGTTGTATTCCAAGCCGCGACGGAACCCGGGACCTTCGCCGATAACGAGGTGTGGGTGCGACGGAAGCGCAACACCGTGCTGCGGTGGGGGGTGTCGAGCTGGCTGATGCGGAATAAGATGCTGACGAGCACTGGCTTGGGGGCGGATCAGGTGGAGGGGGCGTTTGTGACGAAGCATGCCTTGACGAGTACCGGTGGTGGAGGGGCAGCGGATGACTTCGCGATCCATGGTGGGGCGTTCCCTGTGCGGGTGAAGGGAGTTGATGGTGTTATTGGTGTGGTGGTTGTTAGTGGATTGAAGCAGGAGGATGACCACCAGGTCGTTTTGGAGACAATTCGGGAGTTTATCCAGCAAGACAGCCAGTGATGGCCAAGAGTTGTATAGCTGGTTCACGAGCGACTCCGTGTGTATATAGTGTGTACTAGGGAAATCGGAATTTACGAAGTCTTAGCTTAATGCCTGTTGTTTTTGCTCCACTTACCATTATACCCTCTGCTAGACACTGCTTAATTCCCTCCTCATAAGTGCAGTCGGGACTGCTTTTAGAACGGTACTACTACTAATTTAAGAAATGGTGCCATTCGGGAGATCTACCCTAGTTTTTACTGATGGAGACACATTTACGTCTTGGGATGGAGAATGTTGTGATTGAAGCTAGTCAGATAATATTCAAGGTATCATGCTATTCCCGTCACCTCATGTATCGAGGTCTAATAAAAAATGATTCAAACCAGCCAATAAAGCAAAGTAAAACTCCATACATCCCTCTAAATAATTTTACAGTTCGTCATGCCCAGAAGGCTCGTCATCCTCATCAGCCGGAGCAGAGCCATAGAGCTTGCTGGTGATGGGGTAGGCCACGTTGGACAGCTGCTCCTTCTGCTCCTCAAAGTCCTCGGTAGTGGCTTCGGCAGCGTTGTCCTCGAGCCAGTCAGTGACCTCCTTGACGGCGTCCAGGATGGTCTGCTTGTCGTCCTCATCGATCTGGCCACCCAAGCCGTTCTCATCGTTGACCTGGTTCTTCAAGCTGAAGGCATAGTTCTCCAGAGAGTTGCGGGCCTCGATCTTGCCCTTGATGGCCTTGTCCTCTTCGGCGAACTCCTCGGCCTCAGCGACCATGCGGTCGATCTCCTCCTGGGAGAGACGACCCTTATCGTTGGTGATGGTGATAGACTCAGCCTTGCCAGTGCCCTTGTCGCTGGCGCTGACCTTCAGGATACCGTTGGCGTCCAAATCGAAGGAGACCTCAATCTGGGGCACACCACGGGGGGCGGGGGGAATGCTGGTAAGCTCGAACTTGCCGAGGAGGTTGTTGTCCTTAGTCAAAGAACGCTCTCCCTCATCTATGATCAGTTAGTATGGGTCGCTATAGCATGTCGGATTAGAAAGTAAACTTACAAACTTGGATAAGAACGGTAGGCTGGTTATCAGCGGCGGTGGAGAAGATCTGGGACTTGCGAGTAGGGATAACGGTGTTACGGGGGATGAGCTTGGTCATAACACCACCGGTGGTCTCGATACCGAGGGTAAGAGGGTTGACGTCCATCAGAACGACATCTTCAGTACCAGCCTCGCCAGAAAGGACACCACCCTGGACGGCAGCACCGAAAGCAACAGCCTCATCAGGGTTGATACCCTTGCTGGCCTTCTTGCCACCGAAGAACTCCTCGAGAAGAGCCTGGACCTTAGGGATACGGGTAGAACCACCAACAAGGACAATGTCGTCAACCTCGGACTTCTTGACCTTGGCGTCCTTGAGCACCTGCTCAACGGGCTTGAGGGTCTTCTTGAACAGATCCATGTTCAGCTCTTCGAACTTAGCACGGGTGAGGGTCTCAGAGAAGTCCTCTCCGTTGTGGAAAGACTCAATTTCAATGCGAGTAGACATCTGGGAAGACAGAGTACGCTTGGCCTTCTCGACTTCGCGCTTGAGCTTACCCATGGACTTGAGGTCCTTGGTGATGTCAACGTTGTTCTTCTTGTTGTACTGCTTGACGAAGTAGTCCATGACACGGTGGTCAAAGTCCTCACCACCAAGGTGAGTGTCACCAGCGGTAGCCAAAACCTCGAAGACACCGTTGTCAATGGAGAGGAGGGAGACATCGAAGGTACCACCACCAAGATCATAGACGATGACCTGGCGCTCATCACCAGTCTTATCCAATCCGTAGGCGATAGCGGCGGCGGTAGGTTCGTTGACGACACGGAGAACGTTGAGGCCAGCGATGGTACCAGCGTCCTTAGTAGCCTGTCTCTGGGCGTCGTTGAAGTAGGCGGGGACGGTGACGACAGCGTGGGTGACAGACTTTCCGAGGTACCCCTCAGCGATTTCCTTCATCTTTCCAAGGACCATGGCGGAAACCTCCTCAGGGGTGAAGGTCTTGGGGCTCTTGTTCACGTCAACCTTCACGACAGGCTTGCCATCCTTGTTGACAACCTTGAAGGGGAAGTTCTTGGTGTCCTTGGTGACGTCCTTGTCATCAAACTTGCGACCGATCAAACGCCTGGAAAACATTAGCACACCGATTCATGCGTACGAGCTAACCGAAGAAACTCACTTGATATCAAAGATGGTCCTAACAGGGTTGGCAGCGTATTGGTTCTTCGCGGCATCACCGACCAGACGTTCCTCATCGGTGAAAGCGACGTAGGAAGGAGTGATACGGTTTCCTTGGTCGTTGACAAGAATCTCGACCTTTCCGTTCTGCATCACACCAACACAACTGTTGAACGAGTTAGTCATTGTAACGCACGACGTTGTTTCCCTGTTGCAGAACGTACGAGTAGGTGGTACCCAAATCAATACCAATTACAGTTCCATAGTTGTCTTGTACGGAGTCCTCCTGAGCGTGTGCGGTACCGAAGAATGCCAGGGGTGCGATGAAAACGAGGAGAAGGTAGAAGATGGTGGTCCAAGCAGTGAACGGCTTGGCCGCACCGTTGCGACTCGAAAGTCGCGCCATTGTGCCTATGTGTATATCGAGCGGTGGTCTTTGCTAAGGGGCACGCGCGTAATTATCGGGAGGCGTGTTCGTACTGTGCTTGGTGAATCCCTTGCGCTTCAATACAGTTTCCTGTATTCAAGAAAGAGAAGCAAAGAGAATTAAAAGAAAACCCAACCACAGGCGACAGAATGGAAGGGGGAGGAAGGGAAAGTTGAGGCAAAAGAGAGAAGTTGCTGAAAGAAGGACGTGAGAGGAAGAGATCAGCTTTTTTAAAATGCTTGAGGCCAGAGAAAAGGACAGCATGGCTGGTACGGCCATCGCTCTGCAGGTTACTCCTCGCAGTGTGATTGGTGCGTCGGCGTTCAGGGACCAGGATGACTCATCCACCGTGGCCACCGCCCTCTATTCTGCCGGCGAAATCGCCCCAAAGTGATCATGGATCTTCTGCAGGCGGTCCACCGAACATACTAGAACCGGGTTTCATTGGCTAGAAGCCCCTGTTAAGTAATCCTTTTTGCTTTGCCCTATTTTTTAGCCCCCCGGCCATCTGCTCAGGGCTCATTCAGGATACGTGGACAAAGGACCTACTTCGTCGACCTCCAATTGTACAGTAGCTTGAGTACAGCATGTACTTTCCATATCTCAAGTTTCCCAACTGTAGTCATAGTGAAGTCATGACCTCTGCAGTCTAATGACTCGCACAACATGCCTACACGTGGCCACATGTTGGTACTATCTGCTTGTTGGACAAGGAGTATGGCACCCCCATTCAAACTATGGATCGTAACAATATCATCCTTGGTGCTTAGTATCACATCTCCATGGCAAGCTTCTCAATGGACTATAGACAATGGACAAGTCTATCAGTCGACATCTCATGTACTGTACCCAGCCCTTGGGCAAATGATATATCACATGTATGGAACTTAGTCTAGAGTCCATCATCCTATTACAAGTAGTCTCAGAGGCAACTTGCAACTGTCTGGAGAACCATTCATAGCCACTGTATCATTCTCCTTAATCAGTATATTCAGCCCGCAATTTGTTTTACCGTTGTTTCTATAAAGTTCTCTGAACAATCAAGGCAAGCGTGGTAGCAAAATATAAATTTTGGGGGCCAGAGGTTCAAAGGAGATGGGAGGGAAAAAGCAAGTCGATTGATTATATGACATTATTCGAAGAGTTAACCAAGCATATGAATTCTTTTTATAGATAGACTTTGAAAACGTTCTCCGTGATCTGTGTAGGGTTCTTTGTCGAACAAAGCATCGGTCACGCGGTCTGTCATGTCTGAAAAGACCAGCACATCGTGATTCCTGCTTGGCAAACATGAAACGGAAGAAATATGAAACAGTATATCGAAGTTTCGGGTCAAATTGTCTCGAAAGAAAAATAAATGAAGAAAAAGTAAAACAAAGGTTGACGATACAGAGGTCCTAGACTTCTCTGATAGTTATTTGAGGAGACATTTTTTTTGACTACCGCGTGCGTGATCTTTGTGTTGCATCTTCACATAGGGCTATTCCAAGGCTGATCAATTACTATTTCAGAGAATCAAAGAGTTTGCCTTTTACATCGCCCATCACAGATCATCTAGTATGATATTTTTGGCACATTATGAGTAGAACAGCCTTTGTTACCGACAACAGTGACCAATTTAAGCGCATTAACCCCCAAGATATTCGCCTAACCAAAGTATAATTGAAACAAACAAAAACACGGGTGGATATCATCGAATCAATCATAATCATCAGAAAGCACAATGCAGGATTACATATGCATAATCAAAGAGCTATACCCACATCTTCCCTTGTCTGAACTCGCGGAACCGACGAATCGGGCTTTCTAAGTTCACTGCCCCGTCTCTCGCTACCAAATGCCTCGATGTCATCCCTTTCGTGTCTGCGACTGCCAGGTTCGTACTGGGTCTCCGGAAGAAGGACTTCGCCAGTCCTGGCCCGCTTCTGTAGCCAGTAGTTTCGCATTCGATCAAGCGCTGTCTTGAAGTCGTCGAGGATGACGGTGTCACAGAGACATTTGAAGATAAATGATAGCTGCTCAGATGTCATTCAGTAGCTATCCACCTGAGGATGATCCGAGGTAGAGAGCTTACCTTCCAGAATGGTTCAACTCCGGTAGGGAGCGTATGCGCCGGGAAGGCGTTCAAAACGACACACGTATCGATGATTATGAATGCAATGGAAAGGCACATTGATGCTAGCATAATCCCGAACCGCGGGCTCACAGTCACCAATTCTATAATGCCAAAGTTGTACAAGCGCTTAATAGTGTAGAAGAGTGAACAGGTGGTGAACACCCACCAGGGGTCTCTGCCAATTGTTTAGCATCATATGGATGGAAGTGGGAAGAGAGTGAGATTACCGGAAGAGAGGCTCCATTGGCCGTGTCGTGAGGAAGATCTTGTTAATATTGTTGAAGTAGGTGAAATTGGCGTAGATTTCCACCACCCAGTACGGCTGGACCAGCAGAACCGTGATGATATAAGCTTGTGAAACCCTGCGACTCAGGAATGGCTTATTCTTCATCCACGCAATGACATTATGCAGAGTCCAGGACACATTCAGTCCGATAGCACTGCAGGAAAGGTACCAGCCGTAGGCGGGTTCTTTGGGGAATATGAAGGTGCCGTGGGCCATAGCGAGAATAAGCTGGATGGCATCGCGACTCGTTAGCACTCCGCGCACAGAGAACACAGTGGAAACGTGGAAACACTAGGAGATCCCAAGTCAATCACCTCAAGATCAAAGCATACCTCGGCAAAAATCAGTTTATGCAACAGAATGTGTCTCTTCATATTCGCAAAGGTCACCGCGGCCATCACCACCAGGGAACCGACCATCAGGCCCTGTCCCCAGGCCTCCAGGACAAGATCATCAGGATCTGTGGGCCGGGTGATACGATCTCCGGACGCAGACATTGAGAGGGGCGACGACCATGACCAAGCTGTGAGTTTGAGATTTGATCGTCAAGCTTGCAGTGCGCGCGGAAAGAATGGAGGATGTATAGTTATAAAAAGAGAATTCATGGTGTAAGCATGGGCACGTGCGGGTTGGAACGTGGGAAGAAATATGGTTTCTGGGGTGCAGGAAGTACAGTGACTAGTGTCGGTAGGTAGACCCTCGACGAGGAACTCCTGTGGTACGAGGCCAGACGTATTCGTACTAATTGCGGGGATTGTCGTACGTCCATTAATTTCCACCGGTTAATATGGTGCGACAGCCAAAGCCTAATTCCTGGACGACGAGAAGTTTTCCCGACCAGGTGAGGCTAGACCGTTTAAATGCCTCGTACCGGTCATCTTGGCCAATGTGGGAGTCGCCATGTCTCCGTTCCTGGTGGAGGTTCCTGCTCCTTTTCTCATCGGGCCAGGCGTCCCTAGGTTAGGGCGAACACTAAATTTGATTCCCGAACCTTGATCGAGCCAATTGGTTCAACTCCGCAACCCTTAGTCTGTTCCAGGTGGCTCGAGTCACCCGAAGTTTTTCGATTGACCCGATTTGTGACCGAGGTGCGAAGGGAAAGGAAAAAGCCTTGGTCCCATGCGGGCTTTTCTCCACACCCGTCGACGGAACCCAGATTGAGCCACCCTGTGTGGACTGCTCATTTACGACGTGCATGTTCCAACGGTTTTGGGCACAGGGGTCAAGGTGTTAGATTCAACTTCTACACATTATTGGGATTCCCCCTTGAAGCATTTAACAAAACTTGATCTCTAACCAGTCCCTCCTGAAGAGTACCGATTCTGAAATCGCACTGCCAGCAGTCATGTGGACGTGCGTCCCACTCATGGTCGCACTGTGGCGTCAATTTCTCCCTTTTCTACAGCGAGATTGGCCTTCTCTGGAGGGTCACCTCCCCCAAAGACTTCTTGCATTTCTTCGAGCGAATGGTTGGATGTCTGAATAGAGAACAGATCATTAGCTGGTGCTCTTTCTGCTTTCGAAACGGCCGAGTCACATCCCAGAGCTTGGGGAATGGCCCCCTTAGGCGAGAATGAACGAAGACAAAGAAATATACTTTAGGACATACCTCTTTGAGAAAGAGCCATGAATACACGACGATTGCATAGTTGAAAATCGCAAACATCAGGAACATTCTCCATTTGATGTTCGTTATGGCGTGTGGCGTTATCTGCGACATCATAAAGTTGAACAACCACTGCGACGCAGCACCGACGGCTACTCCCACTTCTCGTGTGCGACTAGAGAAGATCTCACCAACATACAGCCACGGGAGAGGCCCCCAGGACATATTGAAACTAAACGCCTCCGCATAGGTCATGATAATCATGGCGATCCCCGCTTTCGTTGGCGCAGAGTCGGACCCGCCCGATTGTGTAGGATGGGTCGCCAGAACACATGCAATGATGAGCATGAACGAACCCATTGCGAATGCCCCAACCATGAACGGAACTCGCCTTCCAACACGGTCAAGAACAAATAGTTGAAATATACATACTCCGACTACCTTGACCACGCCAAAACAGCCTGTCACTAGTTTAGCTTCGCCCTCCGCTCCCACGGCTTCGAAGATCTGATTGGCATAGTAAGCGAGTGATGTGTTTCCCGTCAACTGGGCGCATAGCTGAATTGTAAAAGCAATGAAGATACGGTAACGATTCACTGGTAAAAGAAGCTCGCGGATGGTGAAACTCTCCTTGATCCGGGACTCTTCCTCAATTCCCGCAAGGATTTCATCAAATTCCTTTTGGAGCTCTTCGGTTTCTTCACCTCCACGAACCCATTTCAATGACTCCCAAGCTTTATCTTTCTTTCCCTTTGTGGCGAGCCACCGAGCACTCTCTTTAACTGTGCACATACCGAGTAGAAGCAATGTGGAAGGCAACAGTTGCAGACCCAGCGCAATCTGCCATTGCTTCGTGGCATCTGGCTGGTCCTTTGAAACGGCGTAAGTAACCCAATAGGCAACCATAACCCCTGTGGCAAAGAACAATTGGAAACAGGCCCCGAGTCTTCCACGAATCTCTTTAGGGGCCATTTCTGCTGCATACATAGGTATCAGCGTAGTGGCGGCGCCGATACCAAGCCCGGCAATCACTCTACCAGCGTAAAAGGTCCCCAAGGTATGGGCGTTAATAACCTGTAAGATGGTCCCTACGGTGAAGACAAGTGAGCTCAGAATGAGTCCAGAGCGGCGGCCCAACTTCGAAGCTATAGGCATTGTGAAGAAGCATCCAAAGAATGCCCCCGCCTGAAGAATTGACACCGCGTTGGAATTGACCGTCGTTTGCTGCGAGTTGCCATATCGGAAGTCTCGCTGAAAGGATGGCAACGTGAGGACACCGCCTGCATGGTTGAGTTAGACAAACATTGTGATTCGGTCAAGATTTGTACAGTTGCTTCCAACATACTAATAACACCTGTGTCAAATGCAAACGCAAAAGACCCCATGCAACTGGCAGACGCCAAGTATGTGGCACGGAAGAGGCCGAGCTTGCGACCCATATTGGTTCTGCTCTGAACAAGCCGTCTTCTCGTGAAAGTGGAGCCACAGCGCAAGCTTTCTGACAGTCTTATGAACAAGAAACCAACAAGAAAAGCCAAGCTAGGTGTCATGAAATTTAAAGCCACCGAGAGCGCCGCCAGAAGCTTGTTGACACCCCTTGCGCAACTGCCGCTGCCGCGTGTCGTCTGCACAAGGCTGTGGGGAGGCTAAGGATTTAGCTATCCACTTGAAAAACAAGAGAGCATATTGTATGGCCTCCACGGTGCAATAAGACGCAGTCATGGTTCATTTCTAGGAGCATTATTCCACAAAGAGCAAGTTATCGGCAGATCTGGCTGTTCCCCGCTTGGGACTTGTGATAGTAGGATAGGAGTAGGTCAATGCTCCAAGGCAGGAGTTGGTTCTGATTTGAGTGTTCCGACGAGACTAGTTGGCTGCGGATTGGTCGAATCATGGATTGGATGGCGTGCTTGAGGAGGCTCGAGAGCGTCAGGCCGGAGCAACGCCAGCCGAGATAGTCTAAGATATGTTGGCCGGAGAAGGTTGTATAGTACCTACGTTCATCCTCTATTTGAAAAAGAATGATTATCGAAGCAGACATGCATAACACGACCTTCTCAAATCCGGTGCGGTCGCGGTATTTGATCGCAGATTCACTCACATTCTGAATGTGGAGTCGAATACCCCACAAAAAGGCGATGATCGACATAGATTCCCCATAGAGTAATGGGGTAGAGGTCTCCACTCCGGATGATAGATATTGCTGTTAGGAGATTGTCATTTTGCTAGGCCATAGACAAATATAGAGAATGAGATTTATGAGAGTGTGTATATACCGCCTAGGGCGTCGAAGCACTCCCGCACAGAATCAGCACCGAAAGATTCGCATCGATGGAGCTGCTGAGATCTGTACTTGATCCAATCAAAGACAACGCTATCGGGAGATGGTCCTACTACTACGTAAGGTAGTAAAGTGAATACCATAGATATCTAATAGGAAGGAAGAAATGAAGTGATAGCTCAGGTTGAACGCTTGCTGCTTCCTAATACCAAGTCTAGGTTCCCGATATTCCTAGCCTTAGCACCTTAGGCACTTACGATCAGAAGACCACGAAAGCAAGTTGACAGAAAAAGAAGAAAAAGAGACAACCGATAGAGGGATAATAGAAAAGAGGCAGCAGACAGAGAGAGAGAATAAAAGTAATTAAGATCAATCAGGTTGACTAATATAAAACGACAAAAGCTCACCCTCGTTCTCGCCTCAAATCAAGGGCGTTCTCGAGGGCTACGAAAACCCCGAAGGATTTTACATGTCGAGGCCGGGACTCGAATCAAGGGGCCACGGTTCAGTGGTCAACATACTACTAGTATGTACCACTACGCCATCAGGGCCCCTGCGGTAGTATTAGGACCAAATTTGTTCATCTGTTTGCGTAAGGTAGCCGAAAAGGGAAGGTGCAGTTGCCTGGAATGGGAGGCAGACATGGCGGCCTGGGGCTTTGATCGATGCCTAACGTCATAGCACGGGCTTGAGGTACAAGGAAGAACTACTGCCAGATAGGATACTGAATATACCCGGCTAGATTCTGCCCATAAGTTTCTGAGGGACGTGTGAAATACAAGGAATACATGAGGCGTGAGCATTCACATACAATTCAAGTATTGAGAAAGTATTGGGCTGGTACTTGCTGGTCTAATACTTGCTCATAATTTGATGACGCTCCATTAATTGCCCAGACGAAGCTTAGAGAAGGATAAGCTCGAACGTTGAGAATGAGAAGCGTACTAGTACTTCCATCAAGTATGATTGATATTACTTGGCACAAGAATAAGCTTACCTTAGATAGTGGCTTACGACGTTTAATACGAGGCTGCTACTACGTAACAGTCTGGTTACGTGCAGGGATTTACAAGTCGCTCGCAGGATTTCAACTCCGGCGGTGCTCCGTCTTAAAGCATCGATACGAGAAGTGATCGCCAACCACGACATATCATGTGAAACAAAACTCCATATCATATGCAACAAGTACCACCTGCGTATTACAACCTAGCTATATCTGTAATTGCAAGTGTTTCAAGCTTGATGCCTCAACAGACGATCCAAAACATGAAATGCTCCCTCCCTAGTAGTAGCTTGGAAGTTCCTTTGGCCACATTGCGTACATGGCACATGGTATATAATCTGACTATATGAGTTAGATATCTACTAGTAGCTCTGATAGTATCATGACATAGACTGTCAGATAGCTCTTCAGAGATAGGAGGATACAGGACCATGTATCGATCACTGTGGTGGACATGACCTAAAGAATTCCACTCTGGCAATTAAAGAACTGAATACGAGAGAGGTCGGTCTTACTACGTGAAGCTGACTAGGTGGAGTACATCCATATCTTATGGCATTTCTTGTTCACAGTAGACCAAGGCAGAGGCACCCGAACTAGTCCCTTG